GGGGAAATGCTAAAGATTTCCCATCTTTTATGCACTTTAGTTCATTTTGAATAATTGTTTTTTTGAATTACAATAAAGACAGTAATGATATTAATTTATATCTTTGCTGGTATAAATAAAATAAATAAATATTTTTAAATATTTCTATTTCCACAGCAGTTAAGTGCATACAGAGCTCTATGTGCAGACTATCAAACACTAACCAGTAATGGTGTTAAATCTGCTTAAAAGTATGACTTTCATTTTTTAATTAAAAAGGCAGAGAATCTCAGTAAGCTTGCAATATTGTTTCATTGCATTAAATGCTTTTGTGCTGAAATATGATTCCTTTATATTTGTTTGTACACAAGGACATCCTTATGAAAACCACAGCACCTGCTTTAATGTCGCTACTGCAAACGAAAACACACTTCTCTGCTCTTGTAATTTAATTGTGCTGATGTGCTCATGAGCACCGTATGTTTTCACGTTACGCTCAGACTGCGGGAGCAACCCGATAGCTACGTGCTCATTAAGGAGCTGGCAAGATGGCATCGCAGGGCCCTAAAGCGACCGGGACGAGCTTCACTGTGAATGCATGCAAAAAGAAGCAAGGCTTTGTTCATTTCCAGGGATTTGTATGGTTATCAAACATACAAACAGATGCACAGTCAGCCCCTACCCCGCATGAACTACTGTGTGTATGTGTGCATGTGCATTTATATAGTGTATATGTGTGTGTGTGGCCTTATCCTAAAAAGATCCAATAAAAAATGTATATACTCCAGAAAACTGAATTACCAGTAAACTGTAAAAAGACATGAGTGAGTTGCTTTGGTCGACTGATGCATGCATGTAAATGTTAAAGATACTTGGTTTATTTTAAGCAGTAAGAATGTGTTATGCTTAAAATGCATGGTGCACTTTCATAAAACCTTGGACTCAGAAGCGTTGGCCAAAATCAAATATAGTTACATTATGATTTGACTTCAGTTACTAGGGCACATTGAGGAGACCTTCCTGAAAGCTTCCTTCATTTCTCCTGCAGTGGTTACTAGGATGAACGCTTCTCCTTCCCAACGATTTCTAAGAGATTGACAGCTGGAGTGGTTCTTGCTGTTTTGGTGTCAACCAAGACGTTTGATCTTCGTTGCATGCAGGAATTAGAATGCATCCACCTCTCTTTCTTTTTCTTCCTACAACTTTGTTCATATATTGGTTTGATGTTCGACGAGACGCAATTCAGAGCCGGCTGTTTATTCATTGGCGGTATGCTGGTGGCCACCATTCAAGAGCAGGGCAATTGAAAAATACGTACCGCAGTCGGTAAAATCTGCCTCTCCGCTACCCGAAAGTACGATGCATCTTTGATCTATCTGAAAGGCAATCTGTCTATGCGAAGGCAAAGCCAAAGCTAGGCAAGATAAGCTCTTCCTGTCGCTCTTACCGGGACAGCATTTGTCAAAATGCTGTTTCTGGGATATCACAGTAGTATCTGCCGTTTGTCGATATGGCATCACGTCACACAGACTGATGCTGCATTGGACTGAATTTCTGACGGAAGGAAAATCACACTACAGATGATAAGAAGCATATCTGAAAGTCTTTCAACGCTTACAAATCAGTGAAATAAAGAGAATTGTTTCGAGTGTTGGTCCTTGTAGCTATTAAATCAGACCTCAAATCCTCACGGAACTCAACAGGAAATAATGGAATCAATTAAACTAAATCATGGGAATGCAAACGCAAAAGAACCAATGCAGCACAATTCCAACAGAGACACTGAATTGCCCATTTATTTTATAATTTTTTATTTTATAATTTCCTCTAAAGTCAGTTATTAAAGGCTTTATTAGCTTGTCTTCTTCAAGAAACTTTGCAAAGTCTCAATACCCAATACTTATACTGAACCATTAACTTGATAGACAGCAGCTACTCTGTGGAACAAATTACTTTTGAGACCACAAAACTTAGATACTGTGAAGTCGATGGACGCTAAATAGAATTCTTGATGGGAAAACAGGAAAATGGCAGAAAACTGTAGGCAAACTCAGCAGAGCATAGTTCACCAAAGTCAATGGTGCGAATTGTGCTCTCCTGGGTACAAACAAATGATATGCTTCAATCTCCATTTATTTGTTTTTTTTTTTAATGCATAGATTTTACATTCATCAAACAATAAAGACTACTGTTTTGTAAAGTTCATGTTTTTCTGAAGTATTACAGGCCTGAGATCAGAATAAGAAAAATAGGACCATTACTAATGAAGATGCAAAAATTGTTATGGTAGAATTTCCCCAATATGCTTTCCTTGTGGCTGCTAACAGACCATGTGTTCATCTCAGATCACTGCTTCCTGCTGTGGCCACACTTTGAGTGAAAATAAATTTAGAGTATCGTGGGACTTCAGACATTTATTGGCTTTCGACTGGTTCAATGTAAAATGAAACCCATGGTACAACTCCTGTTTCAGACCAAGCATTTGTGTATAACAGCAATCCCAGTGTTTTGCTCTGTAAACACTGAAGCAGCCTCTTAGTAGGATGGTATGAGTGAACGCTGGAGCATATAGACCAGGGGTGGGCAAGGTTTGCAGGTTTTTGAGATAACCTTTAGGTCAGCTGTTCAAACCCAGGTGTGAGGACTCTTCAGCCAATCAGTCCTCTAATAAGTGACCTAATTAGGTAGTTGCAACGAAAACCTGCATACACACCGGCCCTTTGCGGATAAGATCGCCCACCCCTGATATAGATACTCAGATTCACCCACATTCCAGCCGCTTATCTAGCATTGGGAGCCCGAGCAAATCCCACTGGGCACAAGCTCTCAGCTAACAAGGAACATTCCCAGAAGTCTTCTCAAAGTTGGTGTAGGACGTTCTTACTGTAACGTTGACGGAACGCCATTTCCACGTTTTACATTTTAACAAAGGTTCTGTCAGTGTCAGCATGGTAATGTTATTGCCTCAACATCCTTTTAATGAAATTAATGTTGAAAAATAGCTTTATAATGAAATTTTATAAAAGTGTTACATGAGTATACTGCGAAACTGCTGGCCAGCCCTTAACCCACGACCTTTGAGGTGTAAATCGACAGTGTTACCCTCTGCCCTACTATGCCCTTCATTAGCTTTCATATTATTAGCCTTAGCTGTAGTAGTAGTTGTAATTCTATTAGTGGGTTAATGTTCTGGGAACATCAGGAATACTGGACACTTTGAATGTTTCCATATCTTAATTTTAACATTCAGGAAACATTCCTAGAATGAAAAATTGTTAGTGGTGCTGGAGGAGTCACACCGCACAGGGGGCTCAGCGCGCGCACCCATGATGGGTGATTTTAGACACCTCAGTTTACTAACACCTTTTTTGATGGGGGGAGGAAAGATGAGTCCCCACATGACACCCGAGCAAAACAGCTATACTGGGTCGACTTCACACATGCAGGGATAAGATTCACACCTCAAGCTCCACTACGAGGCAGCAGCACCACCCAGCTAAGCCAACATGATGCGGATAATGTAAATGTTTAATAAAATTCAGGTCACACTAAATGATTTGTATTTTCACTCCTATATTATTTCGATCTTCTATTTAAATCTTCGATTTCCAAAAGACTGAATAAAAGTTCTTTCGCAATACAAAAAGTAACCATCACGCATGGCTCATTTTTTTAGAATATGCACAAACAGCATGCTTTTAAATACATTACGTTTAAATACAGCATACACCTAAGATTATAAAGTCCTTCATTTGTAATTTTTGGCAGTTTAATGACCTTATAACCATTCGCTGTCAACTTTTCATTCAGTCGATTCTGTTCTTTGTAGTGGTGCACATAAACGTGTTGCATTAAATGACATCTTTGGCAGATTGGTGTTTAAATTAGAGAATAACAAAATCCAGTGACATTTACAAATGACAAATGTTGCAGCCAATTTATGTGTCTGGATTTGTCTTATTTTTAAGGAATGAAATGAAAATCACCTTAAACTACAGGGGTCTCTGGGTTTCCTAATCAGAACTGTAAGTCATGCTACGTTTCATATTTAGTTTGGTTATTCGTAGTACTATATACAGTTTGTGTATGAGGGGAAAAAGATGTGCTGCGATTCTACAGTGCTAAAACTTTTCCTCCCCGAGAATCGGATCTCAGGAGGACTTTACATCCTGTGCCAGGAGGGGGGCTAACAGGCCCCCCCACGCTTACGTTTTAATAACGCAGCAGGTAGCAAACTAGGCTGTTACGAGTGGAGTGGCCATCGCATCAAGATCCCCCTCCCCAACGTCGCATATCTGCCCGCAGATCTATGGAATACGGCCAGTAACCAAAATTGACACATATTCACATCGATATTCAAAAATGAACTTGCTCCAGACAGGAAAAGTGCTAATTTAAACACATAAAAAAAAAAAAATCATACACTTTTATAGAACTGTTGTTTATGCGATACAAGTAAAAAATAAATAAATAATGGGCCTCAGAAAGATGCGAATTCTCCAAGTTTCTGATCGCAACATTAGCAAACTGCACTCGGGGGTTAACACATTAAGTCTTTCAATGGAACGGTTTGGACAATGGAGACAAACAAGGAGAAAAAGACTTCTGAGAGCAACTAATACTGTGTTGACCCTGACTTCGCCTTCAATTCCCAACGCCAATAACCTCATTTAAGGCTGCAAGAAACTGGGAGGAAAATAGGCGGCAGCAGGTTAATAAAGCAAACACAGTTACTAATTGCTACGTTCTCACGGTTGGGATTCTTCCCCACCTCCCCCCACCTTTAAAAAAAGCACCTGTCAAATGGGAAGTACAATTTCTAAGGAGGAAGAACTCAAAGGCTTTTGAAATCTGAAGGGCCTGCTGTTTATCTATCTGACCTGGTCGACAGAATGGAGTGTTTATTTCGAGTATCACTCACCCTACAATGACATTCCCACAACATTTACCTTTTTAAAAAAAAAAAAAAAAAAAAAAAAAAAAAATCTACAAACATAAAGAGAACACAAGTAAACCTGAAATTCTTTGACAACAGTAACTTTATTGTTTTGGTTTGCAAGAAAATGGAGCCATTTAAGTCACCGATACCGAAGTAACGAATAAAAAGGAATTGTCTGGTCCAGGTGGCAAATCTTATCTTTTGTTAGCTGTGAAATTTTTATCATTACAATAACACTCGCCGGTTTTTCATATTGCAGCCTTTTTTTAAAATCAATAAAGAGAGAAGAGGAAGATCGACCGACTAAACACCAATCAGACTTTCAGATAAAATGGTCATGATATTAAAACTTTGGGCAAATAAACAAATGGACGGGTCCTGGTGCACAAAACATTATGTAACATAATATTCAGAACAAAAGTAATTGTTATCGCCTGCTAAACTGGCCATCATTGTCATTACGGACACTGTCATGACCGCTGTGGTCTTAGATGACACATTTCCTTAGATGTAAGATAAGTGGTCACCTTCTTTAACCAAAACATCGCATCTGAGATCAACACAACTTAATACAATGAAAAAAAACTAGACTATAAATAGCAAAATTTAATGGCATGTTTAAGCAGTTAAACGCAGTGTTTTATACAAATAAAATTCTCTAATCCTAATAATTTTGATACTACTACTACATTGATACGCTTTTTAAAAAATTTAGTCTTAATCATGTCAAAAAAATGAAAGTGTTCAGACAATGCCTTCAAAAAAATCATTCAGTGTCTTAAAAGTTAGATTTTGCAACAGATTTAAATTCAGAACACCTAATTAATGTAAGACATTCCAAGAACTACACAACATCCATTCAACGGGCAATAAAAAAATCATGATTAAGAAAGGATAGAAGGCAATTTTTTCCCCATTAAGTAAATCTAAACAATTTAATGACAGTCTTTGGTATATATTTTTTTAATTATTAAGTACATGATTACGTATGCGCTTGACTACAGATTGATGTGCGAACCAATTAACACAATTCCAAAAGTGACTACATTTGAAGATCAATCTGTTACATTAAACACAGGTGGCTAAATGGACCCACCTTGCTGAGTCAGATGTGACAAAAGGGACACAACTGCATAACATTAATATTTGTTAATGAATACATGGGGGTGCGTAATTTCAAGAAAACCAAACATTATATTTGGGGGCTTGCGTTAACTGTGCTGCACTGATTCAAGTGAAGGAACGACAAATGCATCTGGAAGGTTCCGTTTTAAAAGGTGTTCCACATGAAAGTCCTCTTCAGAACTGTCGTTTTGCAGGTCTGGTTTCCTATGGGAACACACCGTACATGCCTGGCGTGGTCAGACTAAATTAAGACAGATCAACAGAGCTCTCCTTAAAAAAAGAAAAAGAGGGATTAAAAAGATCCTTGTGACCTGTGGTGTGCAGCCAGCATCTCGCTTCTCATGCCAGATTTGAAACCGTTAAAAATGTCAGAATAAGGGAGTGTGAATGGCTGACGACCCGAAGCCTCGGACACGTCGACGTGACACATGTCACCGCAGCCACGGAACAGCCTGCTGAATGCTGAATGGCATGCATGCAATTTCCACAAAAGAATGCAAACAGATCACAGAGAACAGGGGCTTTGTACCTAAGGCACGCAAGAATACCTTGTACATTTAACTTGGGTGTTAGTGGCCAGTACGATTTAATAATGAAAGGGCAGACGTCCAAAAGTCCCCCCCAGTAGAGAAAATCACAATACAGGACAAAAACAAAAAGGTAACGATGTATGAAAGCCAGACCATTCATTTTGTCAAAGCATACCATCCACATAACTAACAGATACAATTTTTGAAGGGCAATTGCAACAACTTAATTTCTTGTCTGATGAATTAAGGGATAGAAGCTGATCCTGATGACTGGCATAAAGAGATACATACAGCAGTTATATGGGAACAAACACACTTGTATCTCATGCCATCTCTGATTCCCACCGAGATACCACCCAACACTGGCAATTAACAATTACAATTACAATCATACGACCAGACGCAAACCTAGACAGGCGACAGTCATTTGTAAGAATTTTCCCTTTCATTTCACTTTTCTTCATGAATACAATGTGTTTTCACAGAACTAGACCAGCTGTCAAACAAAACCTAAAACTGCTTTGATATTATGAACCAGACATGCAATAAATAAATACCCTGTTTTGTTGTGCAATTCTGCTCTGACTTTATTAAAAATGTTTATTAACCCAGCACTCAAAAGCATCAGGCAATTTTAAAATGATAATTAAAATACTACTAATAAAATAACAATAATTAAATGATTCTTTAGAAAACACAGACAAGTATTGGTTCAGTCTAATTGTTACAGTAATTATATATATATTTTTTTTAGACGCTAAGACTTGGCACCTTTTTTGTTTTTTTTAAATCGCTGAATTCCAACTAAAAAATTCTTGGGGGGGAACTTCTGATTATGCTGATACAATGGGCTCTGATTTTTGTTTTCTCCCCCATGCTCTACTTCATTTTACCACAGAAGGCAAACAAAGCAGAATGCCTCAATGCCACATCCCAGGGGTCACACACCACTGCACGCCAAGCCCCCCCTGACCCTTGCTTTTGTCCACTCCCACACTGGCACAGCATCGTCTTCACTGTAATATACAGCAGCATCCATCTCCAGTCCAGTTGGAAATGCTTCCACCTGCAAAGCTGCGTTGATTGACAGCGTCGTCATCCAATAGGAAACAAACAATTGTACTTCTGTTAAATATGGCTCAGCTTCTACTTTAGAAGAAAAAAAATCTCTGTAAAACACATTATATTAAATTTCTGTGTGCATTCCATGTATGTATGTTCATTAAAACAATATTAATGTATCCTAATGGTCTTTGTCACGTGATCATAGTACCCATTTGTTCTCTCAGCTTGGCTCAGACAATGGAGACCATGACAGTTGAAATTGTGACCTTTTTGTCCACATGGTGAAATCTCAGAGCCTCCATTCTGAAATGAGCCATCTCTCCAAGCGGCCAGAGGTAAGACCTCTTTTAGGGGGCGGTGGGACGTGTGGACAGATTCTCACACGTATACAAGGTTCATCGTGTTAAGACTCACGTCTCCAGGTTTTTGAAGAGAGACTGTAGAGGAACCCAGGAGGAAGCACTTGAGGGCAGGATGAACAACAGCACCCCCCCTTTCCCACTGCCTTGGCCCCCAGGTGCTGGAATGGGGCAGGACACAGCCCTACGCCGCCATGAGGTACTGGTGGTAGAACAGACCGAAGAGGGAGGTGGAAAAGAGGCAGGCAGCGATCCACCAGGTGAGGAAGGACAGCAGGCCGCGGAAGAGCAGGGGGCTGAACACAGTCTGCAGACCCCCCAGGGCCATGGAGAGCTGAGCCACCGACGCCTTAGCCAGCCCCGGGATGGACGTGGGCTCCGGAGAGGCGGCAGCCATGGGGTCAGAGTTCACAGCCAAGGGGCCAGGCTCTCCCGGCTCCAGGGACGGGGCCCAGGAGTGACCACCTGATGATGAAAGCACACATATTAGAAAGGATGGAAGGACAGCAGCCACATGTCAAAAACCCACAACACAATGACATCAGGATCCATCCATCAGACCGTGCCTGTCTGTACAAATTCGAAGTGAGTCTGGAGCCTATTCCAGGAAACACAGGGCGCGAGGAAGGGCGCGAGGAAGGGCACGCTCAGTGCAGAATGCCACATCACCACACAATAAGGGAAATGCTAAATATTTAGAAAAACAAAAAGACAAAAAAAAAAAAAAAAAAAAAAACCCAAACAAATGGTGCTGGAACCACAACAATGTATTCATCGGACAGGCGGACAGCCTCATCACCCGCCCCAATAAATCCGCACTTCTATCACACCCCCCACCATCTACAAGATCTAGCGCTCCTACATATTCTCCCCATCATTATAAACACTTTTAACAACAGCCCAAATTTGTGTGACTTGTCTTGATATGTTCAGGTTCACCAAATCTGCTCTGTGGCTGTGCTTTCATGGGCCACCACTAAGTGACAATCCTTCGAATTTGGTGCAATGAGTCTCAAAATGAATCATCACCGATACCAATGATTCTCAAACTTATAAATACGATTCGATTCCCCTACAATAAAATTTGCTGATATTTTTTTTACTGAGGAGCTACTGCACTACTACCAATAAAATGTGCCAGAGAGGGGGGGGGGGGTGTTTATAAACCTTATTTATAAGATTCAGAAAATCATCTCACATCCCAAAGTTTCAGAACCAGTGACCCATACAAAGTTCATAGGAAGTTTGAAAAAGATCCATTAAATACTTTCAAAGTTACTGTGTTCGCAAGACTAAAGGACTTCTGAAGCCACACAGATCCTATCCATTTAATTACATTTTTTTCAGAAGTACTAATAAGATTAATGAATTACTAAAATGCCACTGCCATCAAGTGGTATTGTTTTAGATTTGGGGTGATATGTCTCAAAATTTGTCTAGTTCCAGTGTGTCACTCATACAATGTGTCTGAAAACTTTGAAAAAAATCAGTGAAACACTTTGAGTTATTGTGCTAACAGGATAAGCGTCTGTGGCTTGCCCTTTTCATTGCCATCACTATGCGACACTGTTTCATTGTTGATGCGATTTTTCTCAAAATTTGAGTAGTTCCACATCTCTGCAAAGGTTGAAAAACATTCATTGAATACTTTTTGAGTTATCCATCTGATGAGAAAGCATCGGCCACTGAGGCAGACTGATTCCAAAACCATATGTATTCCCCATCCAGCAAATGCAATCACAAAAACACTGCAATAAAACCATAAGAAAAACAAAGCACAGATGAATTTTGGACTGCTGGAGGAAAACAGGGCACTGTAAGAAATCTAGGCAAATATGATGATAACATGCACATTCCACACATTTGCACACACAGGAATCAAACCTTGGATGTGAGAGACCATGGTGCTGAACAGCACTTAACTCTTACCTAAAGTTTTGAGGAGCAAGGTTGTGTGCAGCAACATCACTAGGGGTGCGACATACTGAAGGGCAATCACACAAAGGTAATAAAAAACACGCGCCACCTAGGACACAAAGAAAAGGCCTCTTAGCTCACAGTCTCTTAGCTCACAGTCTCTTAGCTCACAGTCAGTAAGCGAGAGCCAAAACGGGTGGGGATCTTATCGGTGACGGAACACCGAAGTGCGGGAGTTATGCCAGCGTCTGCGAGGCGTATCCTGAGCTATGCAGAGGTGATGTGCATAAAACATAACCAAGGACAGCAGCACATTTGGGCTACTGCATTCAAGGGACTCCAGGTCCCAGGAGCCACAACTCGGTCTGCAAATAATTTCACTAGTTACTGAGGCCATCTGGATTAAGGACCAGGTCAGACATCTTATATGATGTGGATAAACCACAAGTAGCTGATTAAAGTTTTACAGGTACAGAATACTCTTGTTACAGGTTTTAGAAGTTATCAAGATGAAATGAGAGTTAGGTAATGGCCAGTATTACAGCTTTAGATCATCCCTCACTTTAATGAGGGGATGCTGGCCTGTATTGAGATTGAGGCAGTTAGTAGGATGGTCCTTTGCTCACTGGCAAATCCCAAGCCTCAAGTCTGATGCTGTATCTGAAGAACATTTCAGTCTCAGCCTTCAAGTCTATGGGGCCTCAAAGTGTTTAATTCTGCTGAGACAAAGTTTATTTTTTTTGGGGGGGGGGGGTTGTGGTACACAATCTCATATAAAGGGGCAAAATATCATATGATTAAAGCAAGTCCACCATACAGGTATTCCCACCCCCTGCCCCCAAATTTGGGTTACCATCTTCTGCAAGTCGACGGTGCTGATGCGGCCTGCCTCCTTCTTCATCTGCTCCACCCCCTTCTTGGCCAGGTTGAGGTAGGCCTGCAGGTGGCAGCGCATGACGGCCAGCCTCAGAGCACACAGCAGCAGGATGGCCCACAGACGCAGAGTGTCATATGTGCTCTCCGTCATCCTGGGGGGGGGGTCACCGGGTGGGTCAGGGCGGCGGCTCACGCTCGCTTACGTGTAGCATTAGCATTAGCCTCGCTGTGGAGCTGCAGATGTTTAGCAGCAATCAAACCAGACAACTGCATGTGGCCACTGAGCCACACTTATTATTAAAATAAGCATGTTGGTTATTTAGGAGATGCTGAAGCAGCATGTGCTGCTAAGCAGCTAGCTAGCTAACTAACGATCCTCTGACTCTAAACGCTACCAATATATTGTAAACATCTGGGGAGGGAGACGTTTTGAGTGGGTCCCCAGAAACGACAAACCCATCCCATGGGCCTCACGAACACTGTCAGCTTCCCTTCACATCAACCGCTAAGCAAGGGTTCCCCAGTCAGGTCACTGGGCACCCACGGACAGTCCACAAGCTCCAGAAACTGGGAGGGAGCAAAATTGTGGACTGTCCGTGGGTCCCCAGTGACCTGATTGGGAAACACTGCACTGGGCTACCTGCTGCATGTATGAACTCATTTAAGTGAGGCAACAATTTATTAATGCATATTATTGTCAGTAAGAAATCTGTACTGCTGCACACAGCTCTATGAGGCTGCAGTGAACAGCGGCCCAGTTCAACCACTTATAGTTTCAGCTGCGTCTCCAAGCTCCCAGACTGCATTCAGATTGGCCTAAAGCCATTCAATATAAGAGAAAAAGTTTGTCAATTGATGCAGATTTAATAAAAGGTTCAAACATAACTAAGACACGAAATGAAAACGAGTAGAAACATCAAAACACAAACACACACACACACACAAGCGGCGAGAAAACACAGAAAGATGAATAGGAACAGGAGACTCACAAAGGCTGACTCTCCTTCCCCAGACTGGGGCTCATGATGTAGTCCTTGGTGATAGGTTTCACCCATAAGAGTACCATTATCAGGGGGGCCAAAAAGTTGATGTGAAGCAATGTCCTGCAAGAAGCCATGAAATCAGGGCAGAAACAAATACAGTGTTTTTCACAAAACAAGGAGGAAAACACTTCACTCCAGTTTCCCCCAGCGGATCCCAAAGACTTGGCTTACAGTGCTCTTCTAGACAATGACGTCATAACCTCTGAAAATCTTAATTTTACAAATTAATTTTTCTCCTCTCACATCTGTGGAAGTAGATCAACTTTTTTTTTTGCAAGCAACACAGAGGGACTAACTCTTTACAGCCTACGGGGTCTCGCAGAAATGGCGGCATTGCCATAATGGAGTTTTAGTAAGATCAGAAAAGGAACAGCGCCTTTAAAAAAAAACAAATTAAATCCCATTGTTCTCATATGAATCGTGTCACTGAACAAGAGCAACACAAGGATACTCACTGGTGAGCTAAGCCCATGCGATCATGTACAATCACGGCTAAATGAATATTCTTTCAATCAGACACAGGAGAAAAATAGCCAGATGGAGGAAGGGTTTTTGTGGGAGGGGCAACCAAACGCCCTGCCCCCGAGAGCCGCTTAGCAGCTTTGATTGCCCTGCTGGGGGCAACTTGCCGACGGCGGTAACAGCAAACGCATCCGAGCTGCTTACTGCGTAACTTTGGCTGTGGTGAGGTTCAGGGCATCCAGGTGCATCTGAGCCAGTCGCAGCCCCGGAAAGGTCAGGAAGGCTCCGATCAGAGAGCACAGCAGGGCCAGGATCAGTTTGAACGTCAGCCTGGATATGGGCCCCCTGGTGAGAGCGGGCACGTGGACGAGTGTGAACCCACAGACCGCACGGCGCACACCCGCTTATATCGGCGGACCGAAAACTCACTGTGACTCCAAGCCCTGGTTTTCCAGAAACTGCACGGCACTCTCCGAGAAGTTTGTGAAACCTACAGAGCGGCAGAATTACCATAAGTGCAACAGGCAGACTTTCAGGAACAAAGCAACGAGCAAATCGGCAAAAGCAGAAGGCGGCGGCAAGGTATTAGCAACATGTTAAAAGCATCAAGTAATGAAAGGCATGGTAACTGTCAGCCATTTTGGTAACTGGAACAGGTATACCTGGACGGACAAGGACACGGACACACACACACCTTACAGCAAACGCTAATCATGCCTTGTAGCATTTACCCGTTTCAAGGCCAAACTCCAGGTAATTCTCAGTGACAATCAGAATGGCCATGGCTTTGACGAAGAAAAAGAAAGCAAAGGTGATGCAGAGTGATCTTTCTCCACCCTCCTCCACCCTGAAGTAGTGCATGGTCAGAGAGAAGAGATTCTTCCTGAAGACGGCAACGTTAAGGGAAAGTCCCAAGAACAGAAGACACATCAAATTCAGGTCCTTTTAACAATATTATATACAGAGTTTAGTGTAGAAATCCCCCGTTTAGTGTAGTAATAAACTGAATTTCTCAAAAATCTTGCAGACAATCAGTATGATTGAAATTCACGATTTATGAAGGTACATAGCAGCAAGGAATGAAGCAGTTAAGGACATCAATCAAAAATCCAATGGCTGCAGGTTCAAGCCCAAGAAAGGATCCCACCATGTCAACCTCACATGAAGCATCCAACCTGCTTCCTCCAGATAAACGATGAGCCGCTTTAGCTGAAAGCTTCAACGGCAAAGAACCAGGTCGATCTTGTGAGACCGAACAATTCAAGGCACATGAAGAGACAAGGGAAAATCGTGGTTTAGACTGCAGTGGTGTGTAGCTATGCAGGCTGATCATTCCACATGCAAACGGGATATTACACTGGCCAAATTCACACAGGACGGAAGGGAATAGGCTCCCCTATCCGCATTTTATCACAAAACAGCAATATACATACAGTTTAGGGTCACACAAACCTGCTTTTTGACTGACTGATATTTTGAATACTTGAATCATTTTGAACTTCATAAAACTTTTCCCCGTTATGTGCGTGTGTTCTTTTGGGAAAGGACACCATCATCCAATCTGCAGATATACTCTTCACCTTGTGGCTATGCGGTATATACAATTTTTATGGTATATCAATATATTTTCAAAACGAAATATAGGATGACAATATCATTTATATCGGTATACTTTTATTGTGCATTAAAATTAGGGCTTTTTTAAAGATATTTAGTCATTGTTCCTGGTACATTGTGTTTTAAAATATTGGCAAATGGCTCAAAGGTTAAGAAAAACATAGTTTACAATATTTGCTTTATTTTTTAAGGTTAATACATTAAAATGAGGGTCTTTCCAGTTTCTGTTTGTAGAACTATTTGCCATATAGCTTTCAATTAGGTAGTCTTTTTGTTCATAATTATTCACTTTCTGCTTTGAGAGCAATGTCATAAACGGAGAAAAAAATATCGGTGGATATAGTGGAATGAAATGCTTTTATGTTGTAGCTGCAACACTGATATCCATTTGGCATTAAGAAAAAATTCAGTATAGACATATTGGCAAACAGGGAAGGAAAACCTGTATTTGCATTTCATCTTGAGCACACTCTGTTTTCATTTGTAACAGCTCATGTGTGGCTTTAACTTACAACTGAACAATTAGCCCACTTAATAGAGTATACTCATTTATTTACACACACACACACACACACACACACACACACACACACACACACACACACCAAGCCACTATCACAAAAGTGCTGCGTCACATGACCTGGCCACCTGACCTAAACACAGCAGAAATGCTTTTGGAGTACCATGACCAGAGAGTGAAGGAAAAGCGGCCAATGATTGCTCAGCATTTATGCAGGAGCTCCTTCAGGACAGCTGGAAAAGCATCCCAGGCGGCCACCTCATGAAAGTGGTGTGGGGGGGGGGGGTGAACAAGAATAAGGAAAAAAGTGGGGAAAATAAATAAATAAATACATACAATACTATGCTATACTGGATAACCAAAATATTCCCACACTGCTGACTTGAATGTGGGTTTACTCTGCAGTCTCAGGGTTATCAAATCGCCAACTTTGGTCAGCTGGCTGGAGTGAGATTTTCGATTCGAGATCAGTCTGCACACACACTTACATGTATGTAACAGTTTAATTACCTTGTAAATAGTCTGTAGGGTTTGCGAACTACCTCAATGCTTTTGATGTAGCTAATTTTAGGTTCATCATGGAATTATAATATTTGCTGTAAGATTTCTTGCATTATAGTCCGGAAGCTTGAGTGTCATAGCAAAAGCATGAGAGCTGGCAAGCCAGGTTATTATCCATCTTGAGGTAATAAAACTAGCTTAGCTGTTAGTGCAGGTACAATCACTCGATCACGATTAGACCAAACCAGTCACGTGACACATGCAGCTGGAAGTCAATGATGTGCACAGTATACAAAATATACAGTCTGCTCTAACTTTAAACAGGATAACAATTTCCTGATTTACATGTGTTATAGTGTTAATTGTGAAGTGAAAAATGTAACATTAGTAACGTAACACAGCTCAACAGGCTGCAGCTTCGGGGTGGACATTGTGGTTCCATTTTCCAGAACCGTGAGAAGAGATCATGAATGTTTGTGAGTTTCACCACTAATTTTTCATTTTATATAATATCAATTGCTCTACACAAAAAAAAAAAAAAAACAGTATTTCATAGTAACATTTTTCTGTTCATGAGTATGACCCATATTTTAACATTTATTTATTTTGACTTGTGATGTACAAGTTGTTCACTGTCAGCAAAAATTCTACTTAGAGGCAAGTACAATCTGAATTTCAACGCTTTCAAATAGGCATTGAAAAGGCATACACCATAGATACAAACACTCGCAGGTACTCAGGAGGACCCTAACGATCTAAGAATCTATAACCTATTTGGCAGATGGCTCTAAAAACAGAAGCCCGACAACCACTGAAAGTGCACTTAACATTAAAGACCTTAATATTTTAAAGGTGTAAGCATTCAGTAAAATAAAACACATACTGCACATTACAATATCGTTACCCTACGTATGCCTCCGTCTTGCAATTTTTAAAAACGAAGTCAACCAGGTAACATCACCTTTGCTTACTGAGTGCTGCGACTTTTTATATATATATATATATATATAAAAAAAGTCGCACCATTCATATATATATAGACACACACACACACACACACAATATATATATATATATATATATATATATATATATATAAAAAATCATGGACCACTACTCTGCCTAAATATATCAAGATACGATTTGAATAGTGCATATAGCTGGGAGGGGAAAGGGTCTATCCATTTATTTTTGACTAATTTTATCATTTTCTTTTAAACACTTGATGCCAATCACCACATGTAAATTATTTCTATGTTTTTAACATCTTAGTATACACTTGAACATTATCTGGTAATTGCATTCACAAATCTTGGGTTTGTATTCTTTAATAAGATGCCAATCCCGTGAGCCAGCAATCTACAGAGCAGTGGAGCAAGGTTGCCCCAGAACGTCTTTATGGAATAGCAAGGCCTGCTATAGCTATCATGGAATGAGGGGAGAGCCAACCCTCAAAAGGCCTCGCTGGGTCAACAGCTGGGAGGCATCAAAAGGAGGAAGAGGGGGAGGTGCAGGAGTCCAAGTATACTTGTAATCAAGGCAAAAGCAAAGCTGGACAGGCTACCACCATAGACCTGCTGCCAGCCCAAGAGGCGGAATAGTACAGATTTCCGATGGCAGAGATCTGCAGTATAGCATTAGCCAGCCTTGCAGCTGCTGCTCACAGTAAGCATTCGACTTTGGGAAAACTCGTGACCAAAAAAAAAAAGACGTCTAGTCATTTTTATTACGGTAATGAGATGCCACCCAAAAGCTTCAGCCTTCAACGTCATTCTAGCACTTGACTAAATTCATTATGACCTTATCAGTTTACTGCGAATGCGTGCGCGCGCTCAGGAGCCCACGGGTTCGGGTGCCCGTATCCCGAAACTCGAGCACACTCACGTCATCACGTCACGCACCGCCACCTCACGAGGTAGGCCCCCCCAAGCCACCACGGGGGTCATCTGTCCCGCCGAGACACCAGGCAGCATTTCCACATCACGTTACCGGATCCTGGCTGACAAGCGTAAATAAATCCGGAACTGAGTAGGTCCATTCATACATGCAGCTGTATCATTATCTTGGAGCTCGGCCTCCCCCAGCCGCCGACCCAGCAGAGCAAATCAGTTAGGGCTTGCTGGCTATACGGCATCTTCAATTCTCCACGGCAGGAAATAGTGGGCTTTTGCCAAATGTATACTTGCTCGCAGAGGACTCCTATCAAGCCAGATTGAACCCTTGGGCTGTGACTGGGATAATTCTTATGATTTGGTGACATATTAGTGGAAAAAAGTAGTGAGTGCAAGACACCACAGTTACTTCTATAGTTATGGACCTTCACAATTCTCTTCTCCCATTTAATTCGGAATCGGGAAAGTCATATACACAGCCTGTATTCCACGGTTCCAAAGTGTGCGTATGTATTTTTCTTAACAAGTAATAAAAAAACATGGCTACCCTGATCACAAGGTATAGACAATAATATATATGAGGTTGCCATTAAATGAATCTTACAAAAAAAAAAACATGGTGATGAATACAAGGCTGAGAACTGGTAAAAGAGCAGCCAAATTACAGCCATGACCAAAGGTCCAAGGTTCGAGCTCTTGGATGAGGGCCAACTGTCATACCATTTATCTGGGCCCTTTATGTAAAATGGATTCTTGGGTGAAACCCAATACAGCAAGGCTACCTACGCAGGTGCAATCTATGTACCAAATACTTCCTTCAGGAAATACCGAGTCATAATGGGACCCTGATGAAAAAGATCCTGTCAATAATATATTTTAGCACATGCCTTATTGCCCAAAGCCTGGCATGCAGAACTACGCTTTAGATGATCACAGGCAATCAAATCCAAATTCCTTTCTGTGCCAAAAAACACCCTCGAGCCTTTGTTACGTTTTTGTATCCATTTTGCCCTTCATCTTCGCCTCCCGGTCCAATTCCAACTGCCTCTGAAGGCGCCACACTTTCACACCGGCTACCTGAGGAGCTCCATCTAGCTGGGCTTACCCCTCACCCTCGGCGCCAGTCCCAAATGATCCCCCTGCCCCTAGCCCACCAGGGATTAAACTAGCACAACACCAGGACCCTAAAGCTACCAGGGCCAGCAGCATTCAGCAGTGGTGAATCATGCATTATATGTACTTTCTTAGGATTTAGTATATGCCCTACTAACTCCCACTGAAAAAATTACTTTGATTTACTCAATATTATGTGAAATTCCCATTGTTACAATAAAAAATGGCTCCTGGAAGACACATCACCTGAAACATGTATGTCATTGGAAAACGCACGATGAAGATGAGTTTTGTTACTGAGACACCCTCAACTCAAACTTGCATGGCTGAGCTTGACATCCAGTGCGCATGGCCTTAATTACAAGGATCCGATGCATTTTTATGGAGCAAAGAACAACCGATAGAGAATAAGGCCCCTTTTCTGCTTCCCACACGTGACTGAGGCATCTGTGAGCAAGATCCCCTCAGCAGTGAACTAAGGTAGTGAACAATCACAATTCTATCCCAAGTCCATTTTCCTCACTACTGAAGACCTACTTGCATTAAACCAACAAAACTAATGCCTGATGTTTAACTTGTGTGGATTTGAGGTTCCATGAAATTTTGCCCCGGCGCTGCATGACATATTTATACACAGATAAATATTTTATTTATTTATTGTCAATTGCAATGATGACTTATGACTCTGGAATCTTTCTCAATGACTGGTTTAAGATGCCTCAGCTCTGTCAAATATTATTCATATAACAGGCCATTTAACATGTGCTTAAGCTGCCCCGTTCCAGATATACTAGGTAATTCATGCCTTTGGTAATTTTTTTCAGCCTCATCATTCTGATAAAAACACAGCAGTTACTTGCATGTGGAGTTATTGTGCATGGCACACAACCTTAATATGTCAACAAGTTACAGAACAATTAAACACCTCAGAGGAAGACGACACTATGCAGCCATTATAAAATCATACCACAGTTCTGTCCTCATGTTGGTCTCCATCAAAGCCATTTAACAGAACCGCTAGCTTTCACTCTCTGCACACAAGATCAGGCCTCCAACGCAACGGCAACCGCAAGTACACAACCATTGATAAGATAAGAAAGATAAGATGAACTTCATTTATCCCAAGGGAAATTCTTAAATTCTTAATTCTATAACAATAATAATAACAACTTTGAAAACTCAGGAAATGTAAGACTGCATGTATTACTGGACTGAGTAACTAGCAAGAGAGCTTTGCCTAATAATATATTTATAGATATAGATCAGTATTTCCCAGCTACCTGCCTGGAGCAAAAATGTGGAATGTCTAGCAGATAGCTGGGAGGGAGCAAAAATGTGGAATGTCTAGCAGATAGCTGGGAGGGAGCAAAAATGTGGAATGNGGAGCAAAAATGTGGAATGTCTAGCAGATAGCTGGGAGGGAGCAAAAATGTGGAATGTCTAGCAGATAGCTGGGAGGGAGCAAAAATGTGGAATGTCTAGCAGATAGCTGGGAGGGAGCAAAAATATGGAGCGTCGGGGGTCCCTGAAGACCAGGATGGGAAGCACTTATCTAGAGAACTGAGACAGGTGTTCTGCAGCAAAGGCATGGAGGCACACATCACAAACACCTCAGCGCTCTGAATAAGAATCAGGCAGCGGCTGAAGGTCCTGCCAAGATTCCACAAATCACTGGAGACATCTCCCAAAGTTTCAGTGCAGGGGCTCACCGGCTCACCAGTGCGGGGCGGAGGGATGGCACACGGAGATAGGATAACGAGAAAGCCAGTATAGATGTGGCAGCTATTATGGACAATCACATATTTAAGTTGATACTGCCTCAGCTGTTGATGAGAGGCTTTGCAGCATAGAGGGGTTGGTGATCACACCTAGAAGATCCATATTTGATTTGCTTAATTTTGAGAACAAAAAAAACAAAAAACAAAAACAATATCATTGACCAATAGAGACTTTGGATTGGAATCCAAAACATGTCAAAATGCAACTGATGAGTTCATCATCACTTGACTTTGGTCTGTATTGTTGACCGAAAAGCTTTCTAGCATAGCAATTCACTGAATAAAACTAGAACATTTCCTCTCGCGTATGATTACAGGCTTCAGAAAAAGGCATCGGATATAAAGTGCACACAAACTGCATTTAATGCAGTTGTCCGCTGAAGACAACTTCCGCAGGATAGACACTACAGTAATACATCAGTGGCTCTAAGCACTTTGTTCACTGTAGTTAACATGGACACAGAGTTTCTTAGCTTGCTTTACTTAGGAGAAGCATTGCTCTTATGTAAAGCTCTCCCCAACTCATCGCCTAACAATGACTCTTGCGTTCTCTCACTGAGAAATCTGATCCGGTCTAAGGTTTGTCATCATCCAGACGAGGTTATATTATAGCAATCAACCCTATCTTGCTCTCAACCGACAACTGAACAAGATTCCACTGAACTTAAGCTCACAAAGGATACATGACAAAGGCCAACACTAGAAGACACCAGACCACGCTGATGTTCATCTCGCCAGTGGGTGCGGCCAGGCTGTAGTAGAGCTCCGTGATGAAGTACACCACAGTGGCTGCCACAGTGAAGTCCACCAACCACTGGTACTCGGGGAAGTAATGCAAGGCTAGAGAGGGGTAACAGAAAGGAAGTAGGGTTACATCGGGATGCCAAAGAATCACGTTGCCAACCCTAAATCTGGCAGCATGTACATGAGGATTGTCATACACGCGTTCAATGGAACAGTTATGAGCACCACTGTAAAGCATTTTGTTAACTGCACAGCAAGTAAAACATACATATCAGAATGAATGGTCATTCACCCAGTGTGTCTACTTCTGTAATCGACTTGGTCTCCAGCTGCAGATCGATGTCCTTGGGAATGGTCAACGGTTTGTTATCTATGTGCCCGTTGTACTTCCTGAGAAGATAATGTGCAAAAACAGCCGTCTGATGGGGGAAAAAAATATTATAATATTTTGCATACCTCAATGTCAATTCAGGTCCATCACAAATGCCAAAAAAGCAAAACAAAACCAAAAAAAAAAAAATTGCTATATGCAGAGACGTAACATATATTAACATTCTAGAGACTAACCAAAAGAATACATAATGTATAACCATCTCCCATAATGCAAAGGGCCACCTCAGTGACAGAAGGTGAGTTCATCACCAGGATGAAATGCAAATGTTTGGTACATGCGATCAGACATAAATATTTGATGGGTAGCGCGGTGGGCGGCATGGCGACATCAACGACCCCGACCGCGGGGGGGCACCTCCACTCATGACGCCTGAAAGGAGAGAAGTCTGGGGAACGGACAGCCTACAGACACAGCACCGTAGAAGCCCCTGCTACTGCATTTGGCGATGGGAAGGGGGGAGGGATCACTCTTAAAATGTAGTACGACTGTAATGAATTTGGTTTTACTTCATAAGTAGCTTAGAGCAGCTCTCGGGCATGGCTAATGGAAACGAAAGTAAAGCATCGGAGAGGTACAGGCACATGACATGGCGGTCGCCAGGCAGCGGACCGTCTCCTGCGT